AAACCTTCACCAAAAACTTTAACCTGTTCACTCAACCGGAAAATGTAGGTCAGATTCAGCATCCGAAGCAAGTCTAGTAGAATACATCCTAAAATGTACCATCCATGCAAGTATGGTCATTATAGGGCTCAAAGTATCTTCAAAATGAAACCATCACCATAAACTTTAACCTGTTCACTCAACCGGAAAATGTAGGTCAGATTCAACATCCGAAGCAAGTCTAGTAGATTACATCCTAAGATGTACCATCCATGCAAGTTTGGTCATTATAGGGCTCAAAGTATCTTCAAAATGAAACCATCACCAAAAACTTTAACCTGTTCACTCAACCGGAAAATGTAGGTCAGATTCAGCATCCGAAGCAAGGCTGGTAGTATGCATCCTTGGATGTATCATCCATGTAAGTTTGGTCAACATAGGGCTTATAGTTACTCGGGAATGAGACTTACACCAAAAACTGCACCAAAAATGTTAACCTGCACCCTAAACATTAGTCTGGTACAATGAAACACACTAGCAACATCTTCCATGCATGTGTAATCAATATAAGACATAGAAGTACTTAAAAAGAAAACTGCTCCAAAAAACTTAACCTTAACCCGGGACGCCGACGCCGACACCGACGCCGACGCCGAGGGTATCACATAAGCTCCCCCCAACTTCGTTGAGGTGAGCTAATAAATGACTTGTTAAGCATGTTAAGGTATCAAAGTGATAGAATATTCAACAGCATAATATCTTGAATTCTTGTCATTTATTTTCATGTTGGTATCTATTGCTATGATAATGTCACAGGAAATAGAAAACAAGCCCCTAATGTCATAACATTTGAGCAAAAAAAAAAAAAAAAAACAAACAAACAAACGTGTACGCAGTACTTGTAGCGAAGATTTATTTTTGCAATTTTTTTAGCGAAAGTGCTAGATTCGCTAAAATTGAATGTAATGGCTCTTTAGTGAGCTTTTTATAAATCGTTAAAATAACATCTCGCTAAAATAAAATAATTTTTTTTTTTTGAAAAATCGCTTAATTTTAGTTTTGCTTAAATTTCTACGTATACGGTATGATGAAAAGTTTTCAATCTCTCATAAAAAAAATTATAAAAAAAATGACAAGGTATGTGTCTAAAATGTAAAATTACTTCGAGAGATTTTTATGTCTCTAATGTTAGTTTGTATATTTCTATCAGTTGTGGGACCTTCCTTTTTATACTAAATTTGACTAGGGAATATTTCATCAACCCCATAAATACAATTGTACATAATACATTATACAGTTAGACATATTTTTTACGTATGTAACGCGTCCTATAAGCTTTTCTTTCTATACATCTGGGGCCCGTTTCAAAAACGTTTCCTAAGATATGTCCTAAGACATAACTTAAGATATGCCTAAGTTATAACTTAGGAAGTTCCTAAGATTTGTCACAACCGTTTCACGAAACAATCTTATCTTAAATTTTTCCTAAGTCGTTTCTTAAGTTGTGTATAATTTAAAGACTAATGAAATACCTCTCCGCTCTATCTATAACTCTCAGTATGCTAGTATGGGTTATATTTTTAGCTTCAAAGAGGGAGGGGCGGGAGGATTGGAGATTACCCCCACTTTCAAAGGACTTGGACAGAAGTATGTTTTAACTTTGCGAAGTTTGCTGGTAGAACTAAGCATTCACAGACACACCCTTTCATGCCCTCTTCCCTTCCGGGCACCCGATATTTGTATTTTTAAAAAACTGTTCTACGTGTTATACGTTTAATTTATTTTGCTCTTTACAAGGTATCTAATTGTAAATTAAATTAAAAAATGATTGCTTCGTAGCGAACACATGCACATGTGAGGACATTCTTTTAAAAAAAAATATTTGCCAATGACAACTCAACGTTAGTTATTCGTGCTGTATATATAAAGCTTTCTCAAATAGATAAAATAAGAATGCCACGCCAGAAAAAAAACCCAACTTCGTGACTACAGATATGAAAATACTAAAAGAAGAGGTTAATAAAGGAAATCTATTGAAATATCATGCATAGCTAGCTATTATTGTATTAAGCGGAGAGGAAAACTGGTTGGAATATCATGGTCGGAAGAACTGACGGAGCACAGGGTGGGGGGGGGGGGGGGGGTAATAATAATTTTACCGATTTATAGAAAACAAAGCTGCGTTATGCTTGTGTCCCCTCAATAAAAACGTCCTAGAGGAGATTATATGCAACCATTTTTGGGAGAAACATCTGTAAATCCGGAGCTTGGTTGGTGGTTCATCAAAAATCATGTACTTGTTATATAGAAGGTGAACAAGTGTTTCGATGCATTTATCTAAAATATCATTTTTCAAACTCGAATTTAATATTAATTAAAATACTAGTAATATACATGTATAAAAGAAATATACATGTACATGTAGATAAAAAATACATAATGTATACATGCATGTATAATAATGGATTAGATCATATGCTAGTTTTTTTTTTGTTTACGAAGACGTGCTCTACAAATGATCGAGAATTATTCTAGCATGTGTACATCTATTTCGCCAGCTCCAGTTTTGTGAACGGACATTTTCATATACTTTTGACTAATTTTGACACATGTTTGCCAATTATTAAATCCTAGTACTGAGTAATTTCATGAAAAGTGAAACAGTTGTAACCTGGAGAGAACGTAGTCATCCATATACTAGTAATCCGTTTGATTTTCTCTCAACAAATACATTCTTCTCTCCATAAGAAATCTTGGATATGAAGCCGCAATATTTAGTTTCTTCCTACGTCATCGATTTACCTGTCCTAAAGTTACGACATACAGTGTAACTTAGGAATATCCTGAGATAAGACGAGTTTAGTGAAACGGATAAGTAATGAACTTAGGAAAAAGTTCTTTCCTAAGATATTACTTAGTCCTAAGTAGGCTTTGTGAAACGGGCCCCTGGTCCAAATTGTAGTATTTTCCTACTTTATGTAATTTTTATGCTCTGTTCCAAAATTGTAACATTTACCAATTTATTTCAATATCAATCCCCGAAAGTTTTCTTCATTTTTTTTTATCTTGTAGGAATACAAATGCATAAAACTTGAAGAGCAGCTTGTGAATTTTAATATAAAAAGGTTCAATGTTAAATCTAACAAATATTGATTAAGATTAGAATTTGACTACAGAGTAAGTATATGAAAAAGGTCATTAACAATTTTGTTTCTATAAAAAAGGGGCAATTCATGATTCGTCTGTTCACGATCCATTAGTGCGCGTCACACCCGATCCATTCGTCATTAGATACAAGCTCCATTTTCCAGTACAATGTTATCTACAGCAATGTCTCCTTTAAAGCTTCTTCTTCTGTTCCCGCCAACTTTGGTTCTGATGATGATCTACAACAATTATCTAGTCACTTAATCCCTCTTATCTTTGTATCGTACAAAAATAGTATTCTGTTACACATACATACTTCTTAAAGTACTTAAGTCTACTAGTCAACAGTTCCAAATAAAATACTCTCACTTCAAACATCACCTCTTGGTGTCAGGTCATATAAAACCCGCTTATAAAGAAGAGTCAGGGACGGATGATTATCAATCACAAGTCACCTAAACCCTGACCTCTAAATAGAGTAACAAATAGTGTACTGTAAAACAAAAAGTAAAACCCGCTTATAAAGAAGAGTCAGGGACGGATGATTATCAATCACAAGTCATCTAAACCCTGACCCCTAAATAGAGTAACAAATAGTGTACTGTAAAACAAAAAGTAAAACCCGCTTATAAAGAAGAGTCAGGGACGGATAATTATCAATGACAAGTCACCTAAACCCTGACCTCTAAATAGAGTAACAAATAGTGTACTGTTTAGATTTTATGCCTTACTGGTGATGATGATTCTGTAAACTCTGTAGTAATTCCCATGGAAGCAGCACGGCTCGGTCCTGTCCTAGCTGAAGGTGTAGCTCCCTACAACCATCAAAGTATTCATATTTCAATTCACTGGCAAGTTATTGAAATGTATTTAAACAAATATGAATGCTTGGACAAGATATATTAGAATAAATTTAGATATGGATTTAACTCTTCTATAATTCTACTCGACTTCTATGAGAAGCACTGACTTTTACAGTTGTCGATTTACTTGGACATTCAAACCTGTATCATTTACAGAGGAACAAAATGATAATAGGTGAAAAAACCCTTTCTAATGGTCAAAGGTATGGGTTTGGGAGAACTCATTTGTGAAAGCCAGGAGTTATATGTACATTGAAATAAAACGTTATTTTCGCTAATTTTAATATTGAGCTAAAAATTTATATCTAAAAAGAGCTTTCATATGTAACAGGAGAGAAAATATATGGCTAGGGAGTCGAACCCGGCATCTCCAGTCAGGTATTCTACCAAATGAGCTATCCAGGCCGATATCAACGGCCCAATCCATTTCATTCTTTCCTCCTTAAATGGTCTACCCCTGACCAGTATATGTACATTAACCCAAGTTATTTTCCCTGGCATTTTTTCACCTGCAATTTATATATAAAAAAGGCATTTATCTGTAACAGGAGAGAAAATGTATGGCTGGACCGGGAATGAAACCCGGAACCCCTGCTTATCAAATCAGTTTTCTTCCAACTGAGCTGTCCAGGCCGATATCCACGGTCAAAACCTTTTCATTTACATTGTCCAAAAGCCGCCAAACGTAAAAGAAAGCACTCCTCGTAAAAGTCCACTAGTATTTTTTTCTCTTTCTTTAAAGAGGCCGGGATATAAAATATAAAAAAAAAACAAATGCATACTTTTTGGTAAAAATAGACACAAGTCTTACGCTTTTTCGCGTGAAATCAAAATCCTCATTTGTGCTCTCCTTCAGGAAACAGCCAGCTTCAGGGTCCACCTCGAAATCACAGGTGTAGCTTGTTAGTTCTACCAAAAAAGTCAATATACTACAAAAACGTGAAATAAAAAAACAAATGACTGTCTTTTTTTATCACTACGAGAATTGGGATAGGCAACTCCATAATTTGATTAATTGTAGCTAGCTAAAACAAGACACCAAAAAGGAATACATACCACACCATTATGTTTGTTATGTGGAGAATGTTTCTAACATCACTTTTAAACAGGATTCTGGGCGAATGAACCTATTACACTGAATGAAACTGTGCCTTTTAGGAAACTAAATAGTAGGCCTAACTGGAAGGTGATTTGATTGAGAACTTCTGTCATTTTATCACTTTCAGTCAAATTTAAATTTAATCAATTGTAAAATTTTGTTCTGCGTTAATTTCTAAGACTTACGGCTATCACAGAGAGTGCCCGTCCATCCAGCGTTACACTCATCACACTCTGTTTCTGTTTCAGACAGGGCAACACACTCTCCGTTAACACAGTTATTAGTTGCACAAGGATCTGAAATAGGAATTGTGGTAAATTTATAAACCGTTCAAATTTAAAGTATTCAGTATATTTCCCTGTAATGTCTGCTTCAAGCAATTGGATTATCCTGACAGGTAAACGATTTTGTGAACAGGTTATAATTATGCATGATTTATATGTACATCAAAAGTTTCCCCCTGAAATATCCACATCTTAGGCAATCAATTTGAGAAGCCAAATGAGAATTGTAGTTTGTGAAATTCATTCAGCAAATGATGTTCTATTTGCCCTTAACAACGGAAATGGAAAGGGATAGTTTCTTCTTCCGGTAACCTAATCATCTGGTAACTTGATTGCAGTCAGATTCCAAAATAAAGACATTTGGAAAATACTATTTGGTAGCCAGGGGAATATGAACTCAATTTTACCTACCAATGTCACATTTATCTCCAAACCACCCCTCATTACACTGACATGTAAACTCCCAGGCTGATACAGCAGAACAAGCTCCATTCACACAGTCATTGGTGGAACAAGGATCTGGAGTTTAAAGAAAAGAAGTACCGGTATTTCATTGTGGCTAAAACTTCACTAAATCGTATTTTTTTTTATATTTTGTTAGCTTATGTTACAGTTATCTCATTGTTAAATTTCTAATTGCACTCATCTCAGTGTTAACTTACTGGTATCACAGTTTTCCCCGAACCAGCCTTCATCACATTGGCAGGTATAGTCAGTGTCTGACAGACGTCTACAAGCTCCATTTACACACGTGTTACCGCTACATACGTCTGAAAAATACTCACATATTCAATACAACTTAGCCTTCGAATGATTCTTGAATTTGATTTTTTAAAACGTAATATAACTAATCCTTTTCGCATTCCGTGCATTAATTGGTTTTTATTCTTTAGTATATAAGTACTCTACAAGTTCACCAATACAATGCCATTAAAACTACTTTTAGTAGCATACGTATTAATCGTCTTATAAATGTTAGGACAAGCTTTTCTATATACAGTTAAACTCGGTTTAAACAATGTCACTGGTACCTATGAAATAATATCAAACTATCCGTAATTCGTTCTAACCGTAAAGAAATTCGTTAAATTCATCTAGCTAGTGATCCAAGATTACTTCGCTATTTCCGTAAATTCGCAATGTCCGTGTTCGTACTAAACGCATTTGAACACGGGACCAATAGGTCAAAACAGAGGTGTATTTAATCAAAGTATATGAAAATCAATGTATAGGATAAGGTTAAGCATTGCTTCCGTTTGTAGTGTAGGGTCTCCACACGAGTGAAACATAACAAACAGGTGTCCATTTGTAAGGAAGGTGAATGTACTGGAAAAGTAACCTATTGAATGATGAAGACTGGACAACATACCATTCTGACAGAACTGCCCAGAGAAGCCTGTTTGACACTGACACTCAGGGGTTGAACCCGAGGTCACGTGACAAGATCCGCCATTCTGGCACACTACGCCGTCACATGGATTGGGGGCACCTTAAAATGATATCAAATATTATTCATGAAAAATGCGTCTTGACGTAATGAAACTATGAAATGAATTGTAACATACATTCTGTCAATATTCCGCATTATTGCTTAAAATCTAGTAAGACTCAGTAAGAACAAACAATGATGACAATTTTTTTTCTTCTTCTTTTAAAAAAAATTAATTATGAAATTTTCCGTTTATCTTTTTATCAACTTTCCAACAAATTCAACTTCTTCACCCCCAGTCGGGAAAGGACAAACATACATTATTGAAATATGGTCTACATAAGTTACTTTCAGGGTAAATGTGTTTGCTTTTCATTTTACTGGGTCTCGGTATTCACTTACCAATGTCACATTTATCTCCAAACCACCCCTCATCACACTGACAGATGTACTCCGTGGCTGATACAGCAGAGCAAGCTCCATTTACACAGTCATTAGTGGAGCAAGGATCTGGAGTAAAAAAAAAAGAAAGAAGTATTTCATAATGGCTAAAACTGCACAAAATCACATTTGCTTTTTTTATTGTTAGCTTATGTCACAGTTATCTCATTATTAACTTTCCAATTGTACTAATCTCAGTGTTAACTTACTGGTATCACAGTTTTCCCCGAACCACCCTTCATCACATTGACAGGTGTACTCCGTGTCTGACACACGTGTACAAGCTCCATTGACACACGTGTTACCGCTACACACGTCTGAAAAATACTCTCATGTACTCAACTTAGCCTTCAAATGATTCTTTAAAAACGAAACACAACTAATCCTTTTCGCATTCCGTACATTCAATGTTTTTTTTAATACTACTAGAAACGATAGCAAACTCATGTAAAATGGACTAAAATACTGATTATAAGACATAAGTACTACAGTATACAGGGAAATTTTCGCCCCCGTTTTATTTTTGCCCCTTTCGCCCTCTTCTTGATGGGGCGAATTAAAATTACACCTCATAATTTCTTAAATAGAACTATGACTGGACAAAATTTAAAATAGGGCGAAATTGTTTACAAGTTCAAAAGGACGAAAACAACCCTGTATACAGTGTACACGTTCAGCAACATAATGCCATTAAAACTACTTTTAATGACATACGTATTAATCGTCTTATAAATGTAAGGACAAGCCTTTTCTATATACAGTAAAACTCGGTTTAAACAATGTCACTGGGACCTATGAAATTATATCTTAATATCCGTAATTCGTTATTACCGAACAAGAAATTCATTTAATTCATCTAGCTGGGAATCCAAAATGACTTCGCTATTTCCGTAAATTCGCAATATCCGTGTTCGTACTAAACGCATTTGTACACGGGACCAATAGGTCAAAAACATTATACGTGTATTTAATCAAAGTATATGACAATCAATGTATAAGATAAGGTTAAGCATTGCTTCCGTTTGTAGTGTAGCGTCTCCATATGAGTGAAAAATTTTCATAACAAAAAAGTGTCCATTTGTAAGGAAGGTGAATTTACTGGAAAAGTAACCTATTGAATGATTAAGACTTGACAACATACCATTCTGACAGAACTGTCCAGAGAAGCCTGTTTGACACTGACACTCAGGGGTCGAACCAGCAGTCACCTGACAATATCCGCTATTCTGGCACACTACGCCGTCACATGGATTGGGGGCATCTAAAATGATTTCAATTATTATTCAAGAAAAATGTGTCTTGACGTAATGAAACTATTACATGAATTGTAACCTACATTCTGTTTATAGTTTTTTTTTTAAAGACTTAAAACGAATAATATTAATTAGATTACTTTTTAACATTCTTGCTAAAAATCTAGTTAGACTCAGTTAGAACAAACAATGATGATTTTTTTACTTCTTTATTTAATAAATATTAATGAAAATTATCTTTTTGCTTACTACAGAGCAAAGGGGAAATTCTTATATTGTCTACTGCCAATTCCTCATCACCGAAAGAGGCTTCAAATTCAATCTGCATATACATTATGAAATGCTTTCATTTATGTAAAATTCAACATTCTCCGCCAAATCTCATATTGGGATTAATGATTTGTAATAATTATCATCTTAAGGATGAGTATTTCGAAGAATATTGACATAAATTTGTCGACAACCTACCTTAAAAAAGTATACCAAAATTTTATTTTTTAAACCAATATAACGTACCTTTAAGTTGGAGGCTGCGGGTAGATTTATCTCTGCCGTGGTCCATACATTACCAGTGCTTGTAGAGAATTGATGTGGTGTGGTTCCCGAATCACTCATCACTTTTACTGTTAATTTAGTTACAAAAGAGGAGCCTAGATCTCTGTTGGATAAGGCATAATCAAATCTCAGGCAACGTTTTGCACCTGTAGATAAAAGAAGTAAACGACCAATCAGAGATCTTGACACATTTAAAGATATAAAATTACTAACCAATAAGATAACATCTACTTGAATAAAGATTTTTAAAAAAAACCAGACCTATAGGCTCTCAACATTTAAAAAGATTAAGTGAGTAACCAATCAGAGCTGAAAGTGTTATCTCTGTGTAGAGAAAAAGTAAAGAACAATTTAATTACATGGGAACAGAAATATTTGCCAAAAATATTAACCAATCCAAAATGTTGAACTTTTATCATTGTCCAATCGAATATAGATGTAAAACCGTCATTCAGACCCCGAGAAAAGTGCTAATAATAAACAATATCGAATAGATATCAACATTAATAATGATAAAGTCAGTTACTGAATATTACAGAATTTGACATAAATAAAGATAAAGTAACTGACAAATTAGATTTCGACATATAATAATTTCAATTAAGTAGCTGACCAATCAGATCTTGACACACATAATTGCATAAAGATAAAGTAAATGATTTCAAGCAAGATATAACAAGATAATATAACTGACCAACCAGATCTCGATGTGTATGAAGATAAAGTAAATAACCTATCAAATGTCAATATATAGAAAGATATTGAGATTGACCAAGCTTAGATCTTGACATATACATGTATAAAGAAAAAAAACTGAAATCAGATTTCGATATATGTAGATAGAGTAAATAACCAATAAAATCTCGAAAAATACAAAGAAGGAAAGCTGACAACTCAAAGCTGAAAAGGGGATATTGACCTTTAAGAGGTTCAAGTAATAACCCGGTCAATTATTTGCTGATTATCTCTCTATTGCAGATCAGAATTTAATGTCACTTTAAACTGAGCTGATAAAAAATTCCTTTTTTTTATTTTAATGCAACACTAATAAAAAAATCAACTATAAAAACCTTACTTTCAAATTTTGCTGATGTTTCCATCTTAGCAATGCTTTCGTAGTAGAAAGGCGTTTTAAAGTTGGGGTTGATCATTTGTGCCATCAGGTGACCATCTGAAGCCTGTATCTGGTTACGGTTCATATCAAAGTACTGGTAAGGAGAAAAGGAAACGGTCAACTGTATGCCAGTGCCCCTCTGATCCTCTATCAAACTTATTATTAATTAAACTTTGTATTTGTTTATCATTTAAATAAAAGTACTGATAAAGCAAAGAGAAATCTGTACACTTATGAGGAAATATATGACCCCACCCCGATCTTTTCAATATTTGTTATCGATGATAACAAATATTCTTGAGATCAAACGGCAGAGACTTTTTATCTATCTTTTAAATGGTTGATCTTCTTTTGATTTAAACTCTTACTTTCTCAATTACTAGCTTTCAAAACGAAAAGGAATATTCATTTATTGTAAGACTTCTTGGAACAGAGGAGTCAGAAAGAAATATTCACAACAAGGGGAGATAATTCACACATACTAGACCTGTTGACCACTGGAAATCTACCCCCGTCGTCACGTGTCTCATTAATGTCGTAAAACCATCCTCAAAACTATCAGTAACTTCAGCGGAGGCTGCAATATAGAATTTACCTGTAATACATTAATTTTCATGAAGAAATTCACTTTTGCATTTTCTTCCAGGGTTCTATTGTTTTTGCAATACACATTTGTTTTTTTTTCTACAGATTGATTTCCTTGATGGTAAATTATTCACTATTGATACAGACCTGAGACAGTGTCGCAGTTTGTGCCGGAGTATCCTGCCGTACATTGACATGTGTAGTCGTCCGTCGTCGCCCCGTCCACACAGGTAGCTGGATACTTACACGGGTTACTGCTACAGGCTACAAGACAAAAATAGCACGAAAACATACACGTTAACAAACTAAAACTACTTTGTTTATTAAAAATATCTAAAACCTTAAGGGAAATTCTCTTCACCAGACGGCGCTGCTTCCACTGTAAAAGCGAATCCACTTCCGGGAGCGATGTTGTCGTATGTATCGCTATCAAACCGGACGACCATCATATTAGATGGACCCAGGCACTTCTTTGTAAAAACCCCACCACCAGAATTTCCACAAACTCTGCAAAAAAGAGGTTGAATATGAATGATTATTTAATTTTAGTGATTTATTTTTGAAAATTGGACGTGATGATAAATATTGTCATATTGTTACACTAACTGAAATATAAATGTGTTTTTTGCCGCCAAGTGTTACATACAGTTTCCCCGGGGCCCCAGACAGGTAATCCCGAATCTCCAGGAAATGATTACAGGCGTCCTGGTCATTGACTTGTATGTCCATTGAGTCAACGGTGAGGCGGATCTTAGTTTTATCAGCTCCCTATTTAGGTTAGAAGACATTATTTTACATTTCATTTACTTTTTTTGTTGATAAAGCAATATTATAGTCCCTCGTTTCTGATGTTAAACTGAATTAAAAACAACTATTACATGGATTCATCTATAATAATTCATTTAATATTATCATCACATAACATCTAAACTATGGGATGTATTACTCTCAATTTGAATGTGCACACACCATCATAACTAATTGCAATTTAAATCTTTCTTTTTATCATATGGATATAGCTTCTCAAATCTTCAGCTTGGCTAAAAATAAAACTGTCAGTTCCTGAAATTTGTTGTTATAACAAAAAACAATATAGAAATTAATGCTAAAATAATTTCAAAGCTTTATTTATAAACTTTTTGTTATCGAAATTAAAACTGTCAGTATTCTATTCCTACACAACCTGACTTTACATTAAGGAATGTGGGGGTAAAGTAATACTGGAACGTAATCTCCCTACCTGGACTAGCCATGTACATTTCAGTCCAGTTGTGTAAGGTGACATGGAAATTTGCTGAGATTCTCCACTGTTCAGATTAATGGTTTCACCACATCCTAGAAAAAATATTTTATTTTTTTAATTGTTTTTACTTAAGCAAGGGTTTCAAAAAAAAAATATGTATGCAAATTCTCAACCAAGTCAAATTCTAGGTAAATATTTTAAAAGAAAGTCCGCTGCCAGTCTATGGAATGAAAATACCGTTACTCAAAACTTTTCTTTATATTCTGGAACACGATTAATTTTCATCCGTTTTATCCCGTCAACAAATACATGTTTATTGAATTATTTTTCGAAATATATCCTTGCACCTTACTACCGACCTAATAATTTACTCCTCAGTCAGCAGAGCGAAAATCCAAATTATTTTAAAGACGGTCTGATATAAAAACTCTTGATGAAGATTTTATGATAAAGTTCTATTTGTGTACTGACCGGGTGAGGTGTCCAGTTGTGAGCAGTCGGCCCCCGTGAGTCCGTCCACACACACACAGCTACACACTCCCCTCGTCTGCTTCACGAAACCCTCATTCTGACAGGTGGGTGGGTTAACACAGTCATCTTGAAATTTAATGAGACATATTTAATTCATTGTTTTTTGTACAAGGTTCCAAGGGCTTAATTTACCCTTTTGGTACAGAGTCCTGTACCCTTTCAATTGGTAGTTTTTAATTGAGAAAATTTGAGATATAATACAGCTCATATTAAGGACAGATTATACGTCAAACAATTATTTTCTTTGGAGGAGACTTAATATCATGTCACAACTTTGGAAATTGGATAATTCTCAGAATTTTTCTTAGAATTTAACTGTAGAAGGAAATAGACTTGGAAAGTATTAGTAATATTTCAATATAATTACAATTATGGACAAAACACACTCAGTGCAGGTTTACAGATGAAAACAAATTTTAGAATATGTTACATTGGTGCTAAAAGTGTAATTTAAACTTTAGAAAAATATACCAATTTAGGTGAATTTTATCAAGAAAATCAAAATGGTAAAAATAAGCCTATTTGTTATTGCTGATTTTTTGTCAATTTGTATTTCCTAATAAAATTCACCTGGCTTGGTGTATTTTTTTAAAATAGATATTAACATATTCTGAAATGTGTTTTCACCTGTAAACCTTAACTGAGTGTTATTTGTATATATATTTTTTTCATTGAAATATTACTAATATTTTCCAAGTTTATTTCATTTTCCAGTTTTTAAGAGAAAAAAAATTAAGAATCATCCGCTTTTCTAAATTTGTGACATGATATTAAGTCTATTCCAAAGATAAAAAAAATGTTTGTATCATCTGTCCTTAAGTTTAACACTTGAAGAAGAGGTACTTTGAAAATTTATTCCCTAATCACATCATTATTCATCAAAATCTTATAATTCAATATAATTATTTTGATTTAAAAAGCACTTTTAAAATTAAATCTGCCCGTCATCAAGTAAATTGTGTCTTAAATTTTTGAGAAGGTGCATTTTTAATTGGGACGGTTTCTATTTACAGGACCTGATAAAAATGTTTATAAAGCTCTGGAACCTCTGAAAAGTTTTAAACAGTTTGTATATACACAGAGTACTTGCCAGCACATTGGTAGAAAGCATTCAGCTCGGCCTTGTCGTAAAATGATAGATCGGACTTGATTTGTCTTGGCAGGTAGGCCAGATCAGGGTCGTTAGAAATCATATAAGTTGTAGAGCCAAACTGTAAAAGAGAGGGCGTATAGTACTGATTTCCATAACAAGGTAGAATCAGAAATGCGTTAAAGCGAAGCATCCCATTCGTAAAAGAGAATATCTATATACAAGTATAAGAGCAGCATTTTACATTAATGCAAATCATTTTTTTCTTTTACGCAAAAAGAACAAACTAATTTACCCCACCTTCCCACCCACAAACCTACACATACAAGTGTGTTACTTTATCCCTCTCCAACACTAGTCTGAGTGGATATTAAGCTGTGTATTAATATGCCGAATTATTCGAGATTTCATAACAAGTAAACTTTTTGAATGAAATTAACCTAAAGAATCTTTCTGAAAAGACAAATTCATATTCTACCCACAAGTAATATAACCATAAAACCCTGACATCTCCCTTGTAAATATTATTCAGCAGTTCTTTTACAACATTAAATAATGATAGTCCATATATAAGCTAGACGATCGTGCATAGATATATTCGTATGTAAGGGATTTCGTCTACTTTTTCTTTTTTATAAAGATTTATAATACCAATGACGTTCTCACTGAACAATAAACTGTGTTAGATTTCCTACCGTCAGTTCATACTGTAGAACAGAGCCCAGATCGTATTGCCTTGCGTTGCTCAGTCTGACCCCTCTGTAGTTGAATTCATCATCCCTGCTGATGGCGTCCCAGTTATAGGTAATGATGGGATCGCGGTCCGCCTCACGTGACTGCTCGTGCATCGCACCCGCAGCATGTAACATTTCGTGTAGTACAATATCGACCTTAAAGAAACGATTACTTTATTTTAGTACCACTAAATTAATAGTTATGTTTTTTTTTGTTTTTTATTACTTATATAAGGTCAGTATATCCGATTTAGTAATAAGGGGACCATTCTTTCAGCTGGTTGTTTAACAAAATAGGAAATGTTGAAGAAACATGTTCAAATGGAAACAATAGTCTTCACTTTATAGCCCTGTCATTTTCTAAATACCAATGAATAACCGTTTGTTTAATTGATTGTATACTGTTTAACGTCCCTCTCCAGAATATTTCACTGACATGAAGACGTCACCATTGCTGGTGAAGGGCTGCAAATTTGGGCCTATGCTCGGCACTCAGGGCCATTGAGCAGGGAGGGATCTTTATCGTGCCACACCTGCTGTGACAGGGGGCCTCGGTTTATACGGTCTCATTCGAAGGACCGCCCCATTCAGTCGCCTTTTACGACAAGCAAGGGGATACTGAGAACCTATTCTAACCCGGATCCTCACAGGATAATGAATAACCGAGGTAAAGAAATGAATAACCGAGGTAAAGAAAATATTCAAACTTAAAAGTCTATTCAAGCTCTACAGAGCATAGCAAACTCGCTGACGTCTAAAAGTTTTAGAGGTGAGATAAGGTACCCGGGGGAGTGAGCATCCTCTTTAAAAGAAAGCGGTCTTAAACTTACTAGTTCAGAAACATATACTTACATATACACAGCCGAATTCGTAAAGCCAGAGGTCCTGTCGTCCTGAGGTGTAACCCACATACGAAGCACATCTGTAGATAAGATTATTGAATTAGAGGCCATCTTCACAAAAGAATGTTCGATTGCCCCTTCTCGATTGACTGAATGAAAGTGCCCATAATTTTTTTTTAAACCTTCAGAAAAAAGCGGTTAAGGCATTGCGGAAATTTTAGTATTGGTGTCACCTACAGACCCAATTATTTTTCATTATTGAAATAAAATAGGAAAAGCATACATATCAATTATTTTTATTTTTTTTCAATCAAAATTTTATTTACAGAAGTAAATTGAATTGGGCATCAGATTCAAATTTTTTTTAGGCTTCTTATATTTTTATTACAAAATATTTGACTACTCATAGCTAGTAACAGGTTTTGCTCAAACTGTTTCTATAAAATGTTTTCTTAAGATATTTTTTATATCTTCATGAACCAATGAAAATAAATATATATATTAATTAATATAATTACGTTGCTTCGTTTCCGATGACGTTTATGTAGGTTGACTCGTAGGTTCTTGGAACCCACGTGACACAGGCCGCGTCATTAAACTTTAGAACGGCTTCGTCAAATTTCTGTTGTATGTCTCCAACTGAAATTTAATAAAAGGACGTCTAGTTTTAAATTCAGTCATTCAAATTCAATGATTTATGATTTTTCATTATGATATTAGATTTGTGTGTTTTTTAACATTTCTGATGTACAGTTAAAACTGATTTGCAAAAGAGAAAATTGGTAATTGGATAACGAGCATGTTTTTTATTTATTCAGCTACAGCTAGTGTATGAAACATTAAATGACTAAGGGAAAATAAATCTAATGATGCAACTTTTTTTAAGAATGGATTTTTAAAATTACTATTATGCGATGATTACGAGATCATCCATTTAAATGAGTCATAACATTACGGTTTCGGTATGTCCTTGTTTGAATGCTGTAAGGTATCTGTCTATTGGGCCATTTAAGGTTGTCTTCTGGTACAAAAAGTCTCTTTTTCCTTCTGGTTGGTAATTTCGGTAGTTGCTTTTAGAAAATAAGGGTGATAACTCTAATTACAAGCAACACGTGTACCTAACACTAATCGATACTTTTTTTTTAAATTAATTTCTTAAAGATATTCTTATAAAAAAGTTATTAATGTATCCCCTTCCTTTTATGAGGAATTATGTACACTAATCATTATAGATCTGTCAAGAAATCAAACAAAAATTATTATGAAATATGATGTATCTCCGTATTTAAGCAAATCTAAACTAATCAGTTCTTTACAACTATGACGTTACTTTACATTTAATATTATCCTACATCAATTGATAATATTTTTTCTGAAAAATTATAAACCCCCCAAACCCACCCCACAAACCATTTAATTTACAACCCATCTTTTCAAAATCTTACCGGTTTCATCTTGCGCTTGGGATGCGTGTCCATTCTTTGAGCTAATTCAAAATTCTTTGGGCTTTTGTTGAGGTTCTTCGGCTAAAAGAAAAACACATGACATAATTAAAATGTTCTTGACCAGTTAATGAAGATCTCGGGTGTGTAGTCTTATCCCATTCAGTCGCTCTTCCTCTTTTTCATCAAAAAAGTTCCTTGTCCATTTCTTTTGATTTTTTAAAGCAATGGTTTCCATATTTAATATGTGAATTCCTTGTAAAAGAACATTTCTTTTCATACCATTATATTAACCTTTTGACCTAGGAGTTTTATTTACTTTTTCAAATTATAGATATCAACTTCTTGACAATCACCTTCATTTCTTTTAGCAATTGGTGATAGAACTTTCATGCTTTATACATGTACTTGTATATATAGTCATGTGACAAAACCTTCTGAAGAATAATTTTATGCAAAAGATGGTTCTATAAAAAAGACCAAATATTTTATTATTTATACTCACATAAACATAAAAAAAAGTATGAACTTTATAGATTTATGTGAATAAGAAATCACCTAATACCATTTATTTGATTTTTAAAAGACCGTCAGCATGAATTTTCTTTTAATGTAAATATACATTTTATAAATGCGTTCCATATCAAATTTTATTCCTTTTATTAAATGAAAAAAGTAACTCGATTATTTGATTTTTTTTCATATCTAAAATAATGATTAGTTCATTTTAATATTACAATAAAACCGGGGGTAAAATTTCATAATAAAATCCTTTGACATTTTATTGACTCGAAAGATATTTTAATTTTTTATTGACAAAAAGCTTCTGTTTTCAAATTGATGAAACACAATAAAAGCAAAACATTTAAAAGACAAATTAAGCCAGGTATTTGATTTTATTTTTCTTATGAAGTGTTCATCAAACTTTAAGACCTTTTTGTCAAATGTAAACATCAAAGAATAAGGGGCTAGAGGCAACTTTAGGTCTATAAAAAGTTATAAATAGTCAAATATTTGAATATTGTATCCACTCTGTACGCCCTTGTTGCAATCTTTTAAAATATAAAAATTGATTTCATTTTAAAGATAAAGAAAACTAACATTCATTTTTAACCTTTGCATGTTTTAGTTGACTAAATAGAAAACACAAAATAAAATATAAGGAGAAAAGGTTAAGGTATCGAACTCAATAATAAGGGCAAACAAATGAGGGACCAGGTGTCATGGATGAGTGAGCATCACCTGCCGACCTTTTATACCAGCCGTGCACTCCTTGTTGTAAATGAGAAATAAAGGGGAAATCCGTCTGCAACTCAGTTTTGTGTCTGATCAAGTTCAAGTCTTGTGTCTGATCAAGTTCAAGTATGCAATATTTTTAACAATTTCTTTGTAAATGTTGCCAAAAACATCGGTATAGATTGTGTTGAGGTCAAAAGTGATCACCCTAGCATTGTTAAAATCTGTGAGAATATCAAAGATAAGGATGTTGTTCAATCGTTTTCTTTTCATCCTGTAGACAACGACTTTGTAAGTAAATGCATTAATAAATTGGGCTTGAAAAAGGCTACTGGAATTGATGGTATTTCGGCTAAAATTGTTAAACTTAGCCATGAACATATTTTGAACCCTGTGACTAATATTGTAAATTTTTGTTTTTCTCAAAATGTTTTTCCGGATCGTATGAAAATTGCACAAGTGGTTCCACTGCACAAGAAAAAAAAGTATTTTGGAGAAAGGAAACTATAGACCAGTTAGTATTTTACCTACATTGTCAAAGATTTTTGAAAGGGTTATTCATTGCCAATTATCAGATTTTTTCAATTGCCATTTTAATGATATGTTATCAGCTTTTAGACCAGGGTATGGTTGTCAGAGTGTGTTGCTAAAGATTGTTGAGGATTGGAAGTATGCCCTTGATCATAAAAAATATACAGCAGCAATTATGATGGATTTATCAAAAGCATTTGATTGTATTCCACATGATTTAGTTTTAGCAAAACTTAGTGCATATGGTTTTACAAATGCAGCTACTAGTCTTATATCAAGTTATTTAAGCAATCGAAAACAGTGTGTAAAACTGGGAAATGTTTGTAGCGATTTTTTAGAATTGTACAAAGGTGTTCCACAGGGTTCAATACTTGGTCCTGTTATTTTTAATATTTTTATCAACGATATTTTTCATTTTGTGTCAGATTGTGATCTCTATAATTATGCGGATGATAACACACTCTCCAACTCAAGTGATGATATTACAACACTAAAGAATACTTTAGAATCAAATTGTTCCACCTTAGTTAAGTGGTTTGGAGATAATCAAATGCAAGCAAATCCTGATAAATTTCAAGCTATATGTCTCGGAAAGAAAACTAAACAGGAAAATATTTGTTTTGAAATTGATGGTAACATGATTCATCCGGAAAATGAAGTAAAATTACTAGGTGTTACTATAGATTTTGAGCTAAAATTTAGTTCTCATATTTCAAACATTTGTAAAAAAGCTTCGCAACAACTCAATGTACTTAAAAGAATAGGAGTACACCTGACCAAATTAGGAAAATTAACCATTTATCATACATTTATTATGTCAAACTTCAACTACTGTCCATTAGTCTGGCATTTTTGTGGTGAACGAGAAACAAGAAAAATGGAAAAAATACAAGAAAGAGCATTGCGTTTTGTTTATGACGATTATAAAAATTCATATAATTACCTTCTGGAAAAGTCAAAATTGCCATGTCTCAAACTCAGGCGCATAAGAACAATGGCCATAGAATGTTTTAAGATTTTACACAAACAAAGCCCTTCTTACCTGCATGATTTTATCCATATTAAAGAAACACCTTATTCTTTTAGATACACGAATACTGCTGTTTTACCAAAAACAAGATCAACAACATATGGGTTGAAGTCTTTTAGATATGAGTTCGCCAAACTTTGGAATTCTTTACCAGAATCTTTTAGAAATATTACTACTTTTAACCAGTTCAAATCAAATATAAATAGTTGGTACGGAAATTGTTGTAATTGCTGTGCTTGTCGCTAATTTTATTTTTAGAAACTGGTAAACAGGGTTTAATTTATTATCAATTGTTGGTCTTATGTGATGAATGCTATATCATTGTCTAGCACCAAGGAGTAATACAGACATTTTAGTAGTGTGATGTAAAATTAAAATGCTGTTTCTTGTTTATTATATATAATATTGTTGTATTTTATGTAATATTACTATGTAGTCGGAAAATAGCTCTTCAGAGCTAATGTTTTTTGTTTGATATATCCGACTTTAAATAAATATTATCTTATCTTATCTAGTTTTCATTTTTATTCTGCATGTAATGATTCATAAGAATGATAAAAAATCATCCATCAGCATTTGACATTGAGATAGAATAAATGAATGAATGCGCTTCATTAAGTAAATGTAATTAAAGATAAACTCTTCTTTTTTCTTGATTAACCCCCTTCCCCGCAGTCACGCATTTTAACGCACATACCATTTCCTATTTCTGACGCAAAATCACGCATTTACCGTTTCCCCGCAATCACGCATTTTCACGCACTTTAAAAAGTTCATTAAATCTTCAATTTATTGCCAAATTCCAACTACTTCATACTTGCTTAATCTCATAAAATAAGAAAAAATATTTTCTAATTAAAATATTACGTCATGATATTATTTACGCTAAACTTTAGAGAAACTTGTACCCCGCTAGAAAGTGCTTGCGGGGAAACGGTAACGTAATATGTCTACGACGTGAGGATTCAGATTATTTTGCAGAACAATTTTGTAAGTTGTAAAGTGTTAAAGTAATGTATACCATGTATGTGAATTTTGCCTGCCTTTAACATATAAAACATATACATTTTTTAATAACTGAATCTCATAATAAACATCAGATTAAAGATTGAAATTCATTTCAGAAAAAAATAAGGCATGAATTATCTCAACTATTAACTTCACTTTTCCTCTTTATTTGGACATTTCAATTAAATCCAAGTCTCGTTTATTTGGTATTTTTCAATGGCTTGAAAATTTTCGGAAACTAGACCCCCATGAGAAATATAATTCTATAATGATATCAGAATTCACCTCACAGAGTGCTTAAAAAAATTCTTTTGTATAATACAAATTTTCCAATGCAAATATGTCTGTTGTGTTTTCTTTATAAAGATTTTACTCATGCCAATAACGATTCAAATTCGATTCTAAATAACCAAGAACTATCTTTGTGACGACATAAAACATTTACTTATTATATGAAATGTTTGTAAATATTTTAACACCAGGAACTGTACTTTATGTAAACAATTGAAATATCTAAATCATTTTAACAAATGTTTACCATTCAAAATTTAAAGACCTATAATGAATTCTAAAGAAACGATTTTACAAATCTTTAAACAATAAAGGTTAAAAAAAAGTTTGTTTTCGCTCTATATTACTAATTAAAGCAACATGAGAAACCTTTATCTTATTGGTATATTGAATTCATATGTATTAAAACCGCGCTTCTATTTTAACGTACGATAATCAAAAAGCTGGAATTTTTATCCATAAGAACCAAGATCGAACTTTTGATATTGAAAGGTCACTTTTTTCTACCTAAATAACAAGCTTTTAAAAGGACAAAGAATACGACAGAGGGAAAGGAACTTATTCATGATAACAGGGTATATTATATATATGTTAGAGAAATACAAAGATGTGCTTTAAAAAATAACTAAGAACGGGAAAAATCTAGGTTAGACAAAGAGACATAGAAGACGGAGGGGAACTTCATATTTATGAGGAAGCGTAAGCTTTTCTTCTCTAAATTCGAAATAAGGTTTTTTTCTGAGTTAACATATTCAATTATTCATATAAAACCGTTCTGTGTATATGTCTTTTATTATTTAAATTTTCAAGAAATAATGAAAAACCAAAAAAATCCACTGCTGCTCATACTTTGTTTTCGCTTAACATTTTTTCCCTCTTTCTCCCATTTATAAGTTACAGTCCCTGAAACGTTCTACTTTCCCATTTTTCCGTTCGCTCACCGTTCGTTCACCGTTCGTTCAGCGTGCGTTCACCGTTCGTTCAGCGTGCATTCACCGTTCGCTCTCCGTTCACAGTTTTGCGTTCACCGTTTACCGTGCGCTCGCGTTCACCGTTCACAAAACGTTCACCGTTCGCTCTTCGTTCCGTTTAGTTTGCGTTCACCGTTCACTTATCGTTTAGTCTTTATTGTCATTCGGAACTCCGAAGTGAAAGGACTTATCTTTTTGATGGTAAGGATTTACACGTTTTTTAATTAAATAACTAAGATATCGTGTTTGAAGAATAATTATTTTAATGCAAAAAATATCTACGATATATATATTTCTATTATTATAACTTAGCTGTCACTTTATCCATTTTTCTCTGGAAAAAATACATTAATAAAATACATGTAAGTAGAACGATGCTAAAATATTAAATTTAAATAAGGGCAATGTCCCTAAACTAATACTTAAAGCGCGGCATTTCGTTATCATATAAAAGACAACAAAAAAATCTTTAATAGATGAATAATAATCCAAGTCTTTTACAAGACAAGACACAAAAAAATATGTCTAACAAGTTTTTAAAGAAAAAATAAACAAAAACATGCTAGAACTATATATATGTCTGAGAATTATGAATAGTAATACAGATATTCAGTTAATTAAATATTTGTGGAGCGAATTAAATTGTTTGTGTGATTTTAAATTTTAGAAAAGACAAACTGTTTAAAATTTAATACAATAGAATTTTCGGTTCTACATCACGTATATAAAGTGTATCATTACAAAGGAAAAAATCCTTCCTTCAAGTAACTAAATATACGTTTGCCATTCAGTATGCTTAACAGCACCCCCCCCCCCACCCCCACCCCGGCACCCTTTCTCCCGAAATCAAATTCTTAGTTAGTATTTTCAGTATATATTAATTAATATTCAATGTGTATTGTACATGTAACTCAGAAAAAATTATTTTTATACAAACATCAAAACAGTCATTATAAACATACATGTGCCGACAGTGGTATTTTGATTTGGCAGGGATTACATGTATGTTTTAAATTCAATTTCAAACTTAATCCTTCCAGGTATATACATGTATTGCAATTATTTGTTCATTTTTTCCGTAGAAAAGCGAAAATCAATTTTTAAAATGGTGTAAACAAAATGTTAAAACTTCTCGGGAATACGAAGTGACTCTTTGACTTCGGCATGTTCGGTGAAGCGAGATTCAAACACCTCCATTGTGTCGAATTATTTTGATTGACAGGACAAGCACGTGCACTTGGAGTGAATCGTTTGAACTTGGAGGAAAAAAAAACGATGCTTACTGTCAAATGGATTTGTTAATAAAAAAAAAGATTACTTTGACTGCCTGGAATATAAGAAAAAAATTAATATATGAATTTTTATTCGATGCAACAAATCTCTCTCTCTCTCTCTCTCTCTCTCTCTCTCTCTCTCTCTCTCTCAAGTTTCTATCGCTTTTACATTTGTCATGTTAAATAAAAACTATGACAACATATTTATTATTTATTTAGTTATGAAATTCTAATGTATTACAAATAATTTGAATGCTTCTATCCATTATCTTGTACGAGTATAATCATGGTCGGGAAATGTCTTCAGATATACATTTACATGTAAAACTTAGCTTAGAAAATAACCAGACAAAATAAAAATAATCGGTATTTTACACGGAATCGCCGTGACATCGAAATATATATTATTTAGTTTTTATCTAATAATTCATTCTGTAAGTATAGTAGTTTTCTCTTCTGAAGTCCACATTATTTAATAGTCAAAAGAATAAGCAGATTTATTTTATTAGTAAATTTATTTTATCTTTTATACGACAGGTGTTCGGTAACAAACACACATGTTTTACGGCAATAAAAATCGTGTTATTAAAATATTGATTTAAAACATCATACGTATGTGCAGAAAAATGTTTTAATTATTTATTCACTTATTTATTAAATGTTTATTTATATTTAAGCATCTAACATTAGAAAATAACTTAATAATTTAAATGCAAGGAAAAAATCTGAGACATTCCGAATAAATCGTTCATCTTGCGTTCACCGTTCGTTCACCGTTTGCGCTCCGTTCGCGTTCTGCGTTCACTCACCGTTCTCCGTTCACACATCGTTCACCAAGTTGCGTTCAGCGTTCACACACCGTTCGTTCACCGTTCGCTCTGCGTTCGTTCACCGTTCGTTCAGCGTTCGTTCACCGTTCAGGTGGGAAAGTAGAAGGTTTCAGGGACTGTATTATTACAGTGTAGAATATGGAAATAACGAGCGGCATTCAATATTAAAGTCCAAAAAACAATACGATATAGGAACAAAGCAAACACGGACCTCCAAAACTTCAGAGGTAGGATCAGGTGTCATGGAGGAGAGAGCATCCCTTCCGACCAGTCACACGTGTGCACCTTGTCACGATTGGGGAATTAAGGAAAAATCTGTCATCAATTCAGGGTATAAAAAAAAGACTAACAACTAGAATGAAAAACATCAGTCAGCATTTGACTCAATTATAAATTGTACCAGCTGCTTACAAGTAAAGAGACAGACCTTTTTCTTTTTTCCATCTATATACACAATCATTCTCTCTGCTAAATCCTCTTCTTCTGAGTTAACATCAAGCAATTTCTACAACAAGATTAAGGAGATTATTTTTAAAAATAACCTATGAAATATTATACAAAGAATACAAAGGGTTATGTGTAGTTAAATGCTGTCTGGATTGTATACCTTGTTTGGGCATTGTGCATGGTAAATTTTATTACTTTGGATGAATAATAATTTATAATGCTGAATAAAATTCATCATTTCTTTAACTCCACATTGGGTTTCACATGGGAATATGTATACTAGAAAGATCTACATATATTTCAGGATTTTTAAAGTTAGAACCTGGCGATTTGGTTTGAACAAGATATAGAATTATGTCAGTTGATGTCTATAATTAAATGTTATGTATGGTAAAAAGGAAATAAAACGTCTATAAAAGGTAGCCCATCAAACATTCAAAAATATAGGTAAAAAAATTTTATCGTGTTAATTCATTTCTTTATTGATTAAATAAAAGTTGATGAGCGAGAAATCCTATTTAAAACAAATTATTCTTCAAAATAGGAATCTATTTTTAGTACAAAATGTCAAGAAAGTTTTGCAATACCAAAATATATATTAATATGATGAAATAAATAGCCAATTTTATTATCTACAAATTGATAATCATAAAAATAACACTTAATAGGACTCTTCTTTATAAATTCAAAATCCGAAATAATTAAAAGAAATATTTTTTCTTTCAATTCTTAAATAAAATAAACAATTGTTTTGAAGAAAAAATGGCTGCAACAAATATTACACCTCACAATAACCGGAAGCAGCTTTCAGAATACTCATGAAAAACAACTAACCTTGTTTAAATCATCCGGGTTAAGGTGCCCCTTCCTAACTTTTGGTGTCTTCTCAGAGCCACTAGCAGATCCTAAAGTAAAAAAAATAAGAATGAATTCTTATTCCGAATATTGTAATTCATAAAATAGTAAAAAAAAAAAAAAAATTTACTTTTAAAACAGTTTTCAAATTATTGATAAAAATACTTACCATTACGTTTACCAGATGTTTCTTTCAAATCGAATAAAAGAAAGCAAAGAACCAAAATTACAAAAGTATTCTGCATGTTTGCCTTTGCAGAATCTTGCCTGTGACCCGATTCGATCTTTTAACCACATTTATATATGCTCAACTCTTCAGTCAATATCCACGTGATTGCTCTACGCGGCAAATATGCAGATAATTTTTTTTTAATAATAATATTTTTTTAATTCATATATTTATTTTCCTTTGATTTCAATTACTTTTAAATTGTTACTTTTATGTATTAACCTTGAAAGAAAATGTGTACTGTATAAAAATGTATAAGCATTAGGCAATGGCATTTTTCAAAATGTTCACGATCGCTAGTAGATAAGTGTTTTCTCGATAACGCACATTCAAATTAGTGTCTAATTAAAATAAATGAACTTAAAATAAGTGTATGAAATTCATAAATGTAATGAAAGTGTGATTTTTTTTTCGAAAAATATTCATTAGCTGTACTTGTAAATTGATGAGTATGATATATTTAATATATTCATAACTAATGAATATACATGTAATACAACCGACTAAATGGACGATTCAAGGAAACGCTGACCGTATTAAGTTGGTCTAAAAAGGCAAATTGTTTTAATGAAAATTGGTCCTATCAAGGAACTAGGATACATGTAATTATGAATCTTCTTTAAGTTAACGTGCTTCTTACGCTTCTCTTCAAACCCAGTGCATTATTGAGCTATAGTAATAACTGGATAAACATCAGATTCATATAGAAACCCTTATCTGATTCTTTTTTATGCAAATTATTTTGAGCTTGCAAATGTTTGTTATTTCCATAAATTTCATTTTTAGTTTCTTCATTTTTGCTATTGTTTCCAATCAGATATTTATATATATTGTATCTTACTTATCCGACAGGTATCGATACTCGTCAGATATTTTCTATAAAATATAACAGACTTTCTGAGGACTTATGCATTTAGTTACTTCATACTTGTTAATTGTAAGAGTCATTTTTAATTGATCTGTTTGCAGGAAAGAACGCAGAATATTACTTGTAAATAGCGATGGGAAAGAAAAACCAATATTAATGTTTAGAATGCTGCACAAAGTCTCCCACCTACTTAAGATCTCACTTTCTTATATTATGTTTATATGCCCTTGTTTGCACATTCTGAGTACAAACAAACTGAGTCTTTCCGGCTTTATTATTTCTGTGCTGAAATCAATCTTCTACACATTTTAGCTTTTGTTCTTTAGAATTCGATGTAGACTTCCCGTTAAGCTTAATTAATGATGTCAATAGTCTGATTTCCTTCAAAAGACAAGTTTACTTGAGATTTTTTTTTTTTACTTTTCTTTCTCGTAGATTCATAAAGCATAACTTATGAAATGATTTACAGGGTTTAGCACTTCCTCTAGGATTCATAGAACTGTTGTTTCGCACCCAGAATACCTAGAAATATTGAGGACATTAATTGTCCTTTCCTTTCTATTTCTGCAAGATGTATTAACTGAACTTAATTGATACAAACAATCTTATTTCATTAAAATTGAAAATAACAACCTGAGTCATGTTTCAATGAGTAAAATCAGTAAGTTTTGCTGCGAAGGTTTTAATTTTTATTCAATGTTAAACAAAAAAAAAAAAAGAATTTAAATTGAAAAATACTTGTAAAGGTTAATCAAGATCTTTAAAGAAAGCTACATTTTGAATATAATAAAAAGGTTAACATTTTATTGATATTTTAGAAATTTACTAGTTGCATCAATTACAACAAAAAATAGGTTCAGAAATATTATCAATCCAGGCATCCCTTTATGTTGAATCATCTGTCCTTCAGATCTTGAATACTATTCGTTATGATTCATCTTAGAAAAAAAATATACACAGTAATACTCACCTTTATCCTGCTGTCCTTGAAAAATTGGTTTTTAGCATTCTGTATTTATCATACTTTGATTTCTTTTCTTAGATTCACGAGGGGATTTTCACATTACAGTCAAAACTGCCATAGCGACCCACTGTATTAAGCGACTCACTGTCACATGTGACCGTAAAAATTCCCCCCAATGCTTTTCCCTATATATTCTACCTGTATTAAACGACCACCTGTCTAACGCGACCAACGACCGTGATTTTCCTGACCATTTTTAGTCATTTCAAGCAATTTTACCTGAATTTAACGACTACATAATTTCCGATTCCTACTTTTGATGTCGGTCGAACATGCTTCGTTTTTGGATCAAAACAACTACAGACATGCTTTTATTTCATTTAATAATTATATAATGTGAGTTTTACGAATAAAACAACATTTATAAATGAATATTTTTACTTACGCTTCGATATTTATTGAATAAACATTAAAATCTAAAAGATACACTGTAAAAAATGCGCTTAGAAAATAAACACTTCCTTTACGTGTTTTATCCTAAACATGTAAAAGATTGTGTTCAACGGCTAAACACTTAGGTCTAAACGTGTGTTAGATTGTGTTTAACGGCTAAACACTTAGGTCTAAACGTGTGTTATATCTAAATGATGTTAAGATTTGACACATGTTTAGATATAAGTGTTTAGAAATTGAACACTTTTCTGTGAAGTGCAGAGTTATCTTCCCGGAAATGACGCATATATATTCGAATGATAAATAGAGCGGTTATCGAAACAAAGAAAAACCCAATGTCAGCTAAAGAAGATGGATTAAAGGAAGTGAATGCTAATCAAAGTGATAATCATGAAGAGATTGTGAAATGCATTTGAACTGCAACATTACTGCGATAAAAGGTATGTTAACTATTATTTTTATTCTACATAAATTGACCACGATTTTGAGGGCTACGTAAATAGACATGCGTTTGCACATGAGTTGTAGATCAAGATTACCTTCAGTTATATTTTGCATTCCTGAAATCTAGAAAGGAGTACATTATATAAAATGTCAATAACATCTATAACAGTATCAATACTATATAGTGGTTAGATGAGCTTCAATAAAAGTAGCACAATAATAGCTATCAAACATGTAAAAAAGTTCGTACAAATCCAGCCAGTGAGGAGATATTTAATTTTGATAAAATTTGAATTTCTTTCTTACAGGATATGGTCCACGTCGAACTTGAAAGCAAAAATACACATATCAGAGGAACTATTGCCATCTCCAAGTCCACAATGATCGACATGCCATCGTTCTTACATTTTTCAACACTTCTTGCTTTCTAGAGGACTTTGAGTTTTGTGAAGTCCGCTGTTCGTTATAGCTTTGAACAACCTAAAAATATTCTCAAACAATGGCAGTGGATTACCTACTGACGGTCACAGATGAAAACAAATTATGCGTGTGTTGCTCAGTGAAGAATTGCTGGAAGTTAAAATTGATACAGACATGAGGAATAACTGCTTGCTGATCTGATTAGAATTAAAACCAGCGTATAAAAATATAATGTATGTTTAATTTAAAATTCTTTATAATAAATCCATTTTTAATGTTCATTGAATAAAATTTAAAATGTAAACAATTGTTATTTTTTCAGTTTTCTTGCAGGAAAACAACGAAAACATCCAAGTGTTTTATTTTTTGTAAACATGTTTCATAACATGTTTTGTAAAGTGTTTAAAGTCTAAACATGTAAGTGTTTAGGTTCTAAACACTTTCCGTTACACGTAATGAAATTCAATGTGTTTAGAATTTCAATGCATCAAAAAAAGTGTGACAAGAATGTGCTTAGGAAAGTGTCTCTCATCTAAACACATTTTTTACAGTGTAAACATCACGTTTTTCTGTCCAGTGATCGAGCGCCATTTTGAAAATAAACGTTCGAGGTCGATCCCGATATCATTTCATGCTATAAGTGCTAAATGGATATGCAGCTATTAAACCGGCCTGTTCAACTTTAATTAAGACGTAAATAAATCGTAGATGTTTATTTAAGTGCATTGTGACACCAATGGGTATATAAACACACGCTAGCTAGCACCCACACCATGTGATAATTGAAGTGATTTAAATCACAAACAGGCAATTAGACACGGTAGTTCAGTAATGAACAAAAATTAATTAGGTTAAATAAATATTTCAGTCATAAATATGATTTAATTTGATACCAAGTGCATAACAAAAATCATGTTAAGTTTTTATTCTTAGTTTTATGCAAAACATATGAGGTTATATATACATGTAGGCTATCATGTTAAAAAAAACAAACTATTATTAGGCGGGGTTGCAGTTTTTTTTTCATACTGTATGAAAAAATATTATTTTTTTCAGATGTTCACAATATTTCCCAATATTCAAATGACTCATGTGCAAATCACGAAATTTTTATTTCTTAATAGGACAATTGTAAAAGCATTTTTGAGTTGACCAGTACTTACTAAAAAGTCTAAATAAACATAAGGTGTTATAAAATACATTCAACATATACACATATGCTATTTTCAGAATTGTATTTGTTGAACACTGCGGAAAATAAGCAACCTGTATTAAGAGACCACCTGTCATATGTGACCTTTTTTCCTTTCTCCGTTGGAAGGTCTCTTAATACAGGTTTGACTGTATGTTTCAATCATTATTACCTGAAAAATGGCTTTGTATCGATATGATTTTGATTATTTTCATAGATTTTCCCCTTTGTTTAATCTTTTGAATCTCTACTACTTCTTGTTTACAATAATTTTAATAATAACTTTGTCTTACAATTTTTGAAAATACTTTACAAATCGAGTGTTTCTTTAAAAGACGACGGTTTATCTTATTTTATGATTTTTTAATTTAAAAAATGGACTAGTAATATCATGGACTTAACGTAACGAAAACTTGCATATTCAACTTTGAAGTGACCTTGAGACCATCCCTTGATCAAGAATGATGAGGTAAACAACTTTTAATTTTTCAGCATATACTCATCCTTGTGAGTAAGTTTAGTGATAATATACTCTGAATCAAGCAGTGACGCGAGTTGATGGCGATATTTTTTTTCAATGGCTCATTTTAGAGACGAGTAATACATGTTCATTATTTTCACTATAGAAAAAGTCGATGTTCATAAAACTCTGTTATAACTAACGAATCTTTGGAA